CCCCTTAGCACCATATGCTGCCTAAAGTATAATAATCCTTTAATCTGTCCACTGCATGACATCTGGGCACTTATTTGACATAATAATTCATGTCAGTTGTTCCTATCAGTATGTATCAGAGGTGGGAAGTGCCAAAGCAGTGGTGGAGTGATGAGGATTTAGGAAAATGCCTGTGGGGGAGTGCCTTGGATCAGGGGAGACCTACCTGTGTGTGGCGGGTGACCAAACTGCCACTGATGCGTCTGCACAAAGTCTTTGTATAAGAATAATATTATCCTGAGATAAGCATAAAATAGAATAGAAAGGGGAATACAAACTAGCAGGACCCAAGTTACAGCAGCCTATTAACATTTACTCGATATCTCTTTATACCCTCTAGTCAGCACAACAGATGTAGCTGTGTTTTAAGACATTATCATTCATTGAAAAAGGCAAAAAAGATACTCTTTCCCTCCCTCCTGTTCCCGGTAATCTCAGATGTTCACCGTGCACGCTGGGGGGAGGAGGTGGAGAGACGAGCGCTGGTGGGAGAAGAATGCAATTATCCCAAAGCCTCCTGACGGGCATCCACTTCTTCCTTCCAGCTTAGCTGCTCTGACCACAGGCTGGGGGCTCGTGGGACGTGGACCAGATTGAAAAAGTGGAAGCAGACAGATGGTTATTTGTAATCATCATGTAAATGTAAATCCTATAAAAATGTTTTCTTTCTAAGGGCCTGGAAGCTGGAAAGCAGGATTAAGGCATGGATATCTAGCCTAGAATAATTTTGACCCGGCCACCTTGCCTCCTACCCCATAAACATCGTGGCTTTATCTCCACTTCCTTTAAACAAATTGCTGGAGCCTCGGCCGAGGAAATTAATTCAGTTTCCGTGTAATTCCCTGAGTTTATGAGCATCAGTTTGACCGAGGCCTGGATTTGGGCCTAAGCTGGCAGGTGCTGGTGAGCAGTTGCCTTGGTAGCAGGGGCTCCTTTTCACTCCTTTCCCCCTCCCTCCCTGGCCCCGGCAGGTGCGTGCCCTGCGCGTGTTTATCTCGGTGCTGCCGCTGCTGGATGTTCTCCCTTTCCCTGGTTAAGCTCCTGGGTACCTGGAAATGGCTGTACAGGGCTTTACATGCCTTACAGACCAGCATGACTGCTCACAGACATCTATCTTGTTTGAGCAGCATCAGCTTTTCAAGCTACAAAGAGACCGATCAAACTTTAATTAAACTCTTGTCCGCAGCACCACTGTGGGCTGTGTGTATGCATTAGCTGTCCTTTCCAGCGCTCCAGTCCCTTGGTGCCTTTCCAGGCAGCAAGGCTTAGCCATCCAGAAGCTTTTGCCCTTCCAAGGTTTTGCCTTTTTAAACGTTTGAGCTGCAGCTGGCCTGGAGGAGAGGAGCATCTCCCCTCTCTGTCGCTGTCGCAGCCACGGTGGCCGCGTGGCAGCCCCTGGGATCGTGCCCTTCAAAGGGAACCAAACCGGCTGTGCTGTGGTGCCAGAGTTGGTAGGGAGGGGTGCCAGACACCTTTCTCTTTGTCACCCCTTGATAAATCATAGAATAACAGAAAGGTTTGGGTTGGAAGTGACCTGAAAAATCATCTTGTCCCAATGCCCCTGCTGAGAACGGGGACACCTTCCAGTAGTTACTCAGACCTTCATCTAGCCTGGCCTTGAACACCTCCAGGGACTGGGCATCCACAACCTCTCTGGGGAGCTGTTCCAGTGCCTCAACACCCTCACAGTAAAGAATGCAGGGAAACACCCAAAATGTAGGGAAAACCCCAAAATGTAGGGAAACACCCACGCAAGCACAAAGGGAGCTGTGTAACTTACGTTAAAATTGGAATAAAGCAAAATAAGAACACAGGAAGAGGAGGCTGGTGGAACATTTTTCCGACCTGTATTGGATTTTTAAAACACTAGTATTTGTGCCCTGCCTAAAGGACTCTGAAGAGGGCTGGCTCCTCAAGTGAACAAAAGCCTCTTGCCAGTGTGTGGAAAGGGTGATCTGCTCAGGCACGCTAATAGTTATCTGGAAGTACCCAGCAATTGTGGATAATTGGCTGAGGAATATTCTGCAGCTCTCAATCATTTTTCTGTTTTCACAGATGATTGTACCATTAGATATGGTGAATGCACTAAGCTGTGCTGCAACTTTTCCATTTACTCTGCTAATATGTGTGAACTCAACTTCCAGTCGACGCTCCTTTCTTCTGTGGCTTCCTGTGCCACTGGAAGGGGACAGCCAAGCTCACCAGCTCGCACTCTGGGGCCCCCCTCTTCCCTGCTCCCCCTCTCTCAGGGTGATGTTTGGATGTTCTGGATTGGCTGGGCTGATCAGATTAATGTCTGTGCTTTTCCATTGTTAGATTGCTTTAAAAGCACTGAATCACAGGAATGGCAACCTGTGCCCTCTGCTCTTTACCCTGTTTTTCTCTCTGCTTTTATTCTCTTTTTTTCCTTTCTTTACCTGGCTTTTTCTTCTTGCGCTCCCTAAACTTAGTGTTCCCCCTCTTCCTCTTTCAGTTGCTTGCTTTCTTTAATTTATATTCCACACATTTTTTCTCTTATCTTTATCTTTCTGTCACAGCTTTATTTTTTTCCCTATTTCTTTTTTCTCCAACCATTTTTGTTTTTCTCCAAAACACAGAATGCTTTAGATGGAAATGATGAGATATATCTATTCAACACTCGCATATGTGCTGAGGTACAGAGCAAGATTAGGCAAGGCCTGTAGCATCAATTTTGTCTTCCATTCAAACCAGTTTTGCAAGTAAGACTTTGGATAAAGGAATGTGATAAAATCAAATCACCTCTTAGCCTCATATTCTGAGGCTGATTGGAACCTTACACAGTTGCTGGGATGATTCAGAGAAATTTAATGTAATTTGCTGTGTATCACTCTAGGAAACTGTATTTGTCAGGTTCATATAGCAGAGTGAAATGTTCAAGGAAAATGCTGTCCTTAATATTGCTGCCAGGAGTTAGGAGTCAGGAATATAAAGCCATTATGTGGTGGGATCTGCTGATTTTCTGGGGATTTTCCACTAGCAGATTTGCACTGAAGTTCTGCAATTGCGAATAGAATCAAGCCGATAAAAATAATTATTTTGTGTGTAATGGAGGAAGCTGATTTTTATCCATTTTCCAGTTATATGAAAGTGGGCATAGCATTGTCTAGAAGTACCTTTTCTTCTTGTGTATCATAGGGATCACGGAGATACATGAAGACGCTTCCTAAAAAAACGTGATTTCGTAAGACTTTTTTCGGGTTCTTTCCCTGAAATTGCCATGGTATTGGCTTTCTTGGCTTTGCAAAATGTTGTACTGCCAAACAGTCAGCAGGCCATGATCCTCATCATAGTATTTCTGTGCATTGCATTGCATAAGTTATTTCTTCCATTTGATCTTGAAGTTCTATAAATTCCTTTTCTGTCAATTTGATTATCGCAAATCAGAAGCGTACAAGTGATTTGTATTAATCAGAAATATTTTGGGATTGAGTTTTTTTGTTTTCTGTTGGAAAAAATATATATCCATTGGGTATGTCACCTAAGAAGCCTTCGGGTCCTTGCCAGAGCTGCATTTGTTGCCAACTCCATCCTGTCACTTCTGTTTTATACTTCGAGAGCGAAACCTAGATAGTCACTCTTTTTTTGTGTGTGTGTTAGAAAAGGAATTATCTTCCAATTAATTCCCTCCTTCCTCTGGGATCTACCTGTGTATCCCAAAATGGGGAACTATGAAAGTTACCTTGTGTATCGTTTTGAGTGCCACATATATACAGCCCACTCCCCTCAGCCTATTCAGAAACCAATTCTTGTATGTATTAATCATATTTTTCCTCTGGCTTATTACAGAACAGAAAAATATTCCATTTCCAATGTTAAAATGGGGCACATTTTATTAACATTGAAAGCAGTAAATTATCTCTGCTTATGAAATGAGACTGAGCAATTTCTGCTGAACTCTTCCTGACTTGCCCCTTCACTAGGATACAGTGTTTTCTAATTTCTCAGAGGGCCCTGGTTCCATTAAGGGCGAGAACTGTTTTAAAGCTCTAATGAAAGCCATACATAGCTGAAATTCAAGGAGGGGCAATGCCCTAAATTCTATTTCAGTAGCTCATCTAGAACTATTTTCAGTTTTATGTTTATAAGAATGTCAATTAACCTAGAGACTAGGACACACATGGAAGAATAACGATGAAGTGGATATCGTTTTAACACACCGAAGCCAGCTAGTTGGACCTAATTCCTTACAGAAGCTTGATTTACATAACAAGTTGGCCTGCGATGCCTAATTTAGTTCTCAAACAGCTCAGTGATTTAAATGCCCTTTGTTTTCTATGTCATGGGACAGCACTGGTCGAAGTTGCAGAAATATTAGAACTAAATATATAGAAGGAAGAAATAAATGTGCTGGAAGCACATTAGTAACAGCTTGATTTCTCTGACACCTTTCAGAACTGGTGATCACTTTGGCATGTATTTGGTGATAACAGTAATAACAGGGATAACAACAACAGCCTTAATCAAGGTGTAACTCTGCAATCCAGTGTCAGTTCTGTCCCTTTTTTACCTCACTTATACTGAAGCTGGAGATCCAGGCAAGGCAGATATTCAGCATGTTGTTTTCTGTTATGAAAAGAACTGAGCATCCTACCTCCAATGCTACTTTTTTACTTATGGAAAGTGACCCTGTCAAGGTTAAAAACAGTAATGGGTGCTACAGGTCTTTCCAATTTAAATGCAGAGCAGTGTTCTTATGTGGAGAAAAAAGCAAGGGGAAAAAAAGCCCTGTGTGTGAAACCTGCCTCCACGGGACAAAAGGACCCACCCACCAGCTTCTTTTATGAGATCTTTTATAGTCAATGTAAGAAGCAAACTCATCACCTAATAGTGGTTGAGACTTGTTTAATATTATATGTTTCTACATGTATTTTCCCCCCCCCACTTACAATGTCATCACTTCTATTAATTTTTTTCCTTCTTTCCCTCATTTATTGCATTAGTGCTACGGGATGACTTCCGCCAGAACCCTACAGATGTTGTGGTGGCAGCTGGAGAGCCTGCCATCCTGGAGTGCCAGCCACCTCGAGGACACCCTGAGCCCACCATCTACTGGAAGAAGGATAAAGTCCGCATCGATGACAGGGAGGAGCGGATCAGTGTGAGTACAACTCGCTGGTTGGTTGTCTACAGACACAGGACCCACAGCCAAGAGCAGCAGAACTTTATGATTTTATAGCCTTTCCCACAGAGACTTTTGGCAGGTTGCCTCTCCAAGCTTTCCCAAATGAGGGCAGAAGGTTGTTTATCGCTTCTGGTTTGGCTCTGCACCCTGAACTTCTCTGAGGGTTGGTTTGTATGTCCGGTGTAATGGAGATCCATTCAACTGTAGATTTGATCATGTAAGGTGCTCGGTTAGATGGGGGACTTGGTGGATGTCTTTGAACCATTTGGCCTTATCTTTTCTACATCTCAGTTTACTGAACTGACAAAATCAGACTTTATATCAGAGAGGTGTTTTATAGGTAAATTCAGTCGTATCTCTGAGGTAAAAAAATACTCCATGGGAAAAAACCCAGCACCTTAGGATGATATTGGTAAAGTTGTATTTAGTGTAGTAATTTGGATGTGCATTCTGAATGAAGGCTGAAGTCACACTCTAAAGAATTATGACTCCTGAATATGAATCCATATTGACTAATTGAGTAACACTGGCTGAATTCTGTGACTGTTCATTTCTCGTACTGAGTGAAAAAGGATCCAGCAGAAATACCTAACTTATCAAGGGAGTAGAGATAAATCATGGTCTATGAGAGCAACTGGGATAAATTAAGGGTGTGAGGACATCTCATTCCTAATTTTTAAATGCTTAGCTTTTCGCCATTAATATTCCTTCAATAAAGTTTTATGTTGTATGTAATAATTCAGTGCTGACCTTATTCAACGTGGACATACTATCAAGAAGATTGTTTGTGGCTTTAGATGCCTAAGAAATGATTTCAAGCCAAGCAACCTAAGTTGTTGCTATTTGTGGACCAGGCTCTCTCTGCTAGGGTCCATGCAAGAGTAGAGAAGGAAGAGTTACAGGGAGCTGGCTATCATTCCCTGACTCTCAAGTTTCTTTGGCTATATTCCTAGATTATTCTGAAGCACTCCATTATCTAACCTTTGACACTGTCTGTGACTTCACAAGCTGAAAATTTTTACTTTATTTCTTTCAACTATCCTGCTCTTTCCCTCTACAAGCACCCTTTGTGGCCAAAAAAATGTTAAGTCTTACGAGACTCAGGTGAATTCTCAGTTTGGGCCGGATTCAGTCTGTTTGCCGCAGCAAAGAGGGAAACTCTGTCTTAGTCAGTGGTCAAGGAAACTGTTAAGAAATCAGTAAAATGAACTAAATAAAACTAAATCCAACTGCCTTTTTCTTCCGAGAGATGTCAAGAGCGCTTTAACTATCATCATGCAAGAAATACAAGCTCTTTGTGCTGCCAAGAGGCAGCAAGAAATGTAAACTTTGAAATGTAAAGAATCTAATGAACACCGAAGGAAAAAAATTAAGTGCGGATGGAATTATTCAGTAGTTGAAATTAGTTGCAAGCTGAAATTAGTCAGTATGATAAAAATATTCTCTAGAACAGCTTAAATATATTTAAATATATCAGTTTATAATTTTAAAGCTATACATATATTTAAAATGCCTCGATTGTGGAACTTGTTGCCCGAGAAGGCAGCTTTTTTTTTTTTTTTTTTCTGATATACTTTGTTTATCTGAAGCTAAAAATATGTTCCTTGTTTTGAGACAGATCCGTGGGGGGAAGCTGATGATCTCCAACACCAGGAAGAGCGACGCGGGCATGTACACCTGCGTGGGGACCAACATGGTGGGGGAGCGCGACAGCGACCCCGCAGAGCTGACTGTCTTTGGTAAAGTGACTCTTGCTTTTATTTCCTCTTCACCACAAATGCCACAGGCTGGATTGCCCTGGGTGGCTCGTCAAAATATGAGCCAAAACAAGGTTAACAAAACACAGAAGTAGTGCTTAGGGTGCATTTCACAGTTCCTGAAGAAGATAGGTTTCAAAACCTGCGGTTTATAATGGTGGAGCTGTGGTGGCTCAAGGTTTTCCTTCTAAGCACAGTGCTCTCCCTCACAAAATTGCCAAAAGTAACTAAGCTACTTCTAATACGGTTGACAATACCTGCTTACCAGAGATTTGGACTAACATTGCCTATTTAAACAATTCCATATTCCTGTGGGGTTGTGAAATCAAACCTTTGTAGGAAAGCACAAAAGAGCTTTGTTGATCAGGAAAAAGTCTTTAGAGAAAATTACGAAATCAAATTTTTGTATATAGAGAGATACTTTTTTCATTTGTTTTTTAGAGGGCATGAAACAGCTTTTCATCCTGTAAGCCAGGACATCACTTAGGCTTTTGGTGCTGCTGAATGAATCAAAAATTTATAGGTTTCCTGTGTGAAAGAGCTTCTAGACCTGATAGGTAAGGCAAGAAGTTGTTAGGTAACATTCCCTCTGTGGTTAGGGTCCAGAGCAAAAATAGAGTAATAACTGAAGCTAGAGCTGGATCCATCCTGCTAACAAATGGACAAGAAGCAAAACCACAAAATCCTGCTGTGGTACATCCTGCAGGCGTGGTTTTATAGGAATTAGTCAAGAAGTTCTGAGCAAACAAAGGAAAATCAGTAAGGAAAGAACCCTCACTGCTAAAGAAAACACATACATGTCAACAAAAGAGAAATAGTGTTAATGTTCCCTCCTGCTACAGCTCTTTGATATCCTTAATATACAATATTGAAATTCCAAACAAGATTGTTTATAATTCCAGTAAGACTTTTAACAGAAATCCTAAGGTCCTTTCTGAGGCAGATGCTCCTATTTTTTTTCACCTTCTGCCTAATATGGTGCACTGGAAAATCCAGTTATATTGCCATCTCTGTGTTTGCATGTATGTGCAATTCAGCATTAGTTTGTCCATTTTAAAAAACCCTCAAACATATTACGGGATTCACAAAAGAAAAGTTTCTACTAGACAAGATCTGAGCAAATTCTACTGGACACATGACTGAATATTTCCTGCTTTCTAGCATTGCAAGACTGTAAAGGCTTCCACTTCACTTAGTTTGTTGTGGATTTGTGGAAACATACAACTTTTAAAGGCAGAACTATTATACGTTGCAAAAAAGGCAGAGAAAGGATCTCTATCAAATTATTATGTCCTTTGCAGCCAATCTGTTGAAGTTGTGCCTTTACACAGATGTGAAAAAGACATGACATATCTCCTTCATCAGTTTAAGTACTGCTAATCTCTGGTAATAGTCCCTGTGGATAGCAAGCAAATTGCAGTCCTAAACTACAAAGCCCTAAGAAATCCTTAAGAAAATAATTTGTTAAAAAGCATTGAACTGTAGGAATGAAAACTGAAATGTGCATGTAATTTCATATCCTGCCAGGCTATGAAAAATATTAGGTTTATCTTGGTATGTACAATAATACATAGCCAATTGCAATATTCTGAATTTTTTACAGCATATAGTCATAACAATCAACTTGCAAAAATACAGTCCAAAATTATTTAGTGTATACTGAACAAAATCAGCAATAAATGAGATTAGATATTTTAATGCTGCATCGTTGTGTTAGACTACCAAAAGAAAATTGTATTCAAAGTACTCTATCTCAGTATCTTCCTATCTAAAATTCTCCTTCTATCTGGGGATAGAAGGGGAATAAATCCAGAGGCTGGGAAACATCAGGTCAGCTGTGCATGTTCAAATTGGCTTCAGTGAGCACAGGCAAGACCAGGGATCGTATGTTAAGTCCACAGCCACCTTCTAATATGACTCGGAGGTTAGAGGAACATGGGAATAGGGCAAATTTTGAGGAAAAATATGCTAAAAATAGCATAATACTTATATGCAATTAATGGGTCCAACTTTAACTCTTTTGCACATATTTGAAAATGGACTTTACAACAAAAATAAAAAGATCTTAGCTAAGAGACTTAGAGAATTTAATTAGATGACTGGCAAGCCTAGAGCTGGTGATGATTCTGGACAGGAATGCATATTAATTAGCTGATTATTCGTTCCTCCTTTCCCGAATAGCAACCTTCCAAACCTTTTTCCTAGAGTGAAGGTGGCCTTAGTAAACTACACTACGTAGGAAAAGGAACTGTTTCATACTAGTTCTCAAACCTCTCCAGGAACAAGCTACTTGTTACTTTTGGCTTTGCAAGTTTTTCTGTAATACCTGAAGTTCACTTCTGTGTGTGGCTCGTGACAGCTCTCTGGCTCCCTGTGCAGAAAATTTAGCTGGAGGCATTGCCTCTGGAAAAAGTGACTCAGTGTGGTGGGAACTGGTGGCCTGAAGGGAACAGCAGGGAAGCCTAGCCTAAAATATTACACCTTTCCTGAGTTTAGAAACAATAAAATAAAATGGACGATAAGAACCTTGGAAAGAAGTAGGGGGAGAAAATAAAAGTTTCCCATGGGCAGAATATATCCACTTGGCTGGGTACCCATTCAATAACCCTTGCTGAGAGATAGTTGTGAATAATACATGTAGAACTTTCACAAAACAACTGATGGTTTGGTTTTTTTTCCAAGCTTGTCTGCTTGAAACCTTATTTTCAACATTTAGGCACTTCTAACTGTATGCTGGTAGTGTCGATGCAGATTGCATTTCTTTGGCTCCCAAGTCAGGATTCTTCTACTAGCAGAAAATTGTCAAATGTTCATAGCAAAATACCATAAAGCAAACTGAGCATATAAGCAGTGCTACCCAAAATTATTCCTGTGTTTTGAACAGTCACAATGATGCACTACATTTTGTTAGTCTTTTCTTTCAAGCACTATTGCTAGTTTTTGCCTTTATGAGGCTCCAAGGTGCAATCTTGGGGAAAAGCAAGAAGACAGGGGCTGTGACAGAGTTGTCCTTTAAAGGAAGTTAATGACATCAATCCTAATGCTCACAAAAAGAGGCAGCGTGGGACTTTATTATTCTAAAGGCCAATTTCAGAAGCGTAAGTGATACAAATTAGGTTGCTTTGCTTGTGTTTGGTCTCATAGCCTTTGGCTGAACAGAATTAAAGCAAGATGCAAAACAGAAACAGTTTAATTCCAATTTGTAAGAAAGCTTTCTTTGTAAATACATAATATGGAGCCAGAAATTAAATAAAGTAGGAATCACTCTTCAAGATAACCTTTGTCATTTTGTCATGCTACTGCCTTGTTCTAAGTTTTCAAGTTCTTTTAACTGTTTCAGACTCTTCTTTTTTTTTTCCTTTGGACTTAAAATGATATGTTTGAAGTGCATGTACAAAGGTATATCTTGTATATTGATTCTAAAGCTCAGTGAAATCAATGAAAGCCTTAGTATATCAACTTCAAGAGGCTGGCATCAAGCAGTGGAAAAAGATATATTTAGAAGAGCCTCAAAAGAATATAAAACATAACTAAGAAGAGTACAAAAACGTCTTTAAAAGATATGTCAATTTGGACATAATAAAGATTGTTTTGGATTAATCTTTGATTTTAACTTTGGTACCTGACCCTTTTTTCAGCTAATAAGGTCCTGTGGGATGAAGAGGTACTTTTGTCTGATGCTTGAAGAAGTATTTGTGTTTGATGTTCTGTAGATATTGTCAGGCTGAAAGAGAAGCCGTAGTTTCAGGAAGAGTATTCTGTGACGACATGGCGTTAGAGGAAAGAAATCCAAAAATCTTTTAATGAAGACAATGTGCCCCATTTTACTTTCTTGAGCTCTGCTTATGTGGAAGGCCTTAGCAGAGAGTCTTGTCCCATTGTATCCTGGAAATTAGTCCCAGAAGCTTTCCCAGTCACATGGAAAAATCTACCAAAACCAGGTATACATTCACAGGTCGAGACAGAGAAATCAGCAGTGTGTGTTTTGTCCTTCAGATGAAAGCTTTTCCAGGTTTTCTTCCAATACTTGTATTTTCCACTTGCAGTCTACTTGTGGCAATTTGCAAAAAGCCAGTTTGTCTTTACAATGTTTGTTATTCACAGATACAGAGGAGTTGTAATAGGATAATGACACTGCTGTGAAAAAGGGTCTGATTTGGTCTCCAAGGTCTGCATGGAATGGTCAGTAAAAACTGAAATGAAGATGGTTGTAGACACATATAAAAGGAGAAAATTACTAGCAATGGATAAAAATAATTTTACTGCATTTGCGTGTGCCTCTTGTCGGTGCTCCATGCCTTTACTGGGCAAGCTCATCTCACCTTGGGTGCTGCTTAGGGAGCAGAAGTTTGTAAGGTCTGCACAGGTGCTTATTTCTAAATGAAAAATAGAAAAGTACCTAAAAAGAGGCAGTAGAAGAATGTCTTTAAATATAAAGCCATATGCTTTTGCAATTCTATTTTCATTTATTTGGCCAACATAGGTAAATTTAGTCAGATCGTAATATCCTGTCTTGTTCCATGTCTTCTTTTTTGGCAGAGAGTTTTACTTCATCCAGATCACGTTGTATTTAATAAAATATCTATTCTATTGACAGCATTCTGAAGTGAGACTTACTTCCAACCATCTAATGTTTCCCTTTTTTTTTCTTTTTGCATCAGAATGCTAAAGGGAAAAAAGCTTTTATTTTTAACATTTGCTATTAAATCCCTCCCCAAAGCCTTTTAATTTTTGTTTTAATACTCTTTCTAGAACACAAAAACATTTTAAAAAAGTTATGTCTTCTCTCCAGCAAAGACAGAGAAAACAATTCCAAATCAGATTGAGGCTCTGCATTATGGGGACCATCAAATCTTTCACTCTAGCAGTTGCCTCAGCAGAGAAAATATATTAAGGTAGTTAGGATCATTTTAATTAGATTGAGGCCCCATGTATGGCTGTCTAACTTTTTGAGGAACAGAGAAAGGGCAGTAATACATCTGAAGGTCATCTGAGCCTCTCTAATAGACTGTGTTACTCAGACCAATTGTTAAATATGGGAAAAATTGAGTTCTGAGGTTAACTTGTGTCAGCACCCAAAGCAAGGAAAGCATTTTCCTGTTTCTGGTTAGGATCTGTAGGCTTCCTTGCAGTGCATATCTCGAGCTCTGCAACAGATTGTTAGATGTGTGTCCAGATTGCATTAACAACCCCCTTTTATAACTGCAAGCAAAGTTTATTCTGAAGTTATAAAGGTCACCCTAGTAATAGCATGACTGGTTGACATGACATATAACCATGACCTATTTTATAGTTCTCTTCAAAGATTTTTAATATTCATCAGAGAAAGTCTGGGAAGTAGGTACTTTATTTACTCAGTGAAAGCTTATAAAATAGCTATATTAAAATTTTTATATATGTCTGTGATTTTAATTTATCACCCTTTCTTGTTGTTTCTCAAATATATTGTGTTCTGGATGCTGTTGACAGAATAACAATGTTTAATTATACCACAAGGCTTTATTTATGGACAAACCATTTCATAAGAAAAGAAAAAAAATAAAAAAAGATTTTTTTGTCAAGATTAGCTCTTAAACTAAATTTGACCTGGCTGTGTGAAGAAACCTTCTTTATTTAGCATGCTTGGGCAGGCAGCGCTCTGTCTCCTGAGAGATTAACATTGTAAGCAAGTTATGCAGGTGACTCAAATCCAGTTAATCTCATATAAAGAATGTTAATTGCATTGGCAATGGCATTCGCTCTGATCACTTTATAGCTGTATAATTAGCTATTGGACACATTCAAGGGGTTTTCTGAGTGATATAAATACAGGAAACAACATGAGAGGTAACTTGTTCTTTCCTGATTCACGCTGTGCAAAATGCAGAGATGATGGAAAAATGGAACCAGCAGTTAATGGTATCTGCATGTCCTTGCTAACTGGGATCTGTCCTTTCATAGCTATTTATTTTCTAGAAACTTCTTAAATGTTTTTGAAAATACACAGTTTAAGAAGCTGATCTGAAACAAACGTGGGTGTATGCTCCTAAATTGCCTAGATGTGGAATCCAGTGATTTACTTAATGACCTTTGGGCCATTTACTTTCTGGGTTCTCCTCAACATGCAACAGGGATTTATTTCTTCATCTCCTGTGGAGAAGAATTTACAGCCACAAGTAGCAATTTCATCAATATACACACACTAATTTCTTAGCTCTTTACATACAGCTTTTATAAACGTGGTCTAAAATAATTTTTATGTGCAGACCAAGCCATGGTGCAGGTACACACAGAGTTATTTAAATTCAATGTAGATGAACCAAGGGCCTCCAAATTGCCAATTAAAAATGTCAATCTGGATCTAAATTTTTTGGTTTAGGATCATCTCTGAAAAACAAATACCAAAATGAAGAATGTATTATGTATGAACTCAGAGCAGGGTTTGGTCTGAGATCTCCTTAGGAGAGCAGCTGTGAATAAGATACTGTTGCTAACCTGCAGAAAGTTTCATAAAGAAATTCCCATTTAGATTCACATAGTTACAGGTGGGCCAAGTGCATTGCTTAGCACTAACGTTAAGAAATAATAGGGTTTTTTACCTTGTCCAGTTTTAATAAGTTTGTCAAACTAAAAAAGGCTTTATCCAAAATTTTCCATGCCTGATTGGAAAACTCATTTTAATGTATTTGTTTTTGAAATTGCCAAAATAATTCACTTTTCTCTAAAAATGTTGAAGTTCTTGTAGTTTTGAGTAAAAGGAGTAATTGGAGAGAAATGGGCAAAGGTTTGGAGGAGAGGAATGGAAGAAGCTTTCTGTCCTGAGAACTGCAGGTCCAATACAATATTTCTGGGCTAAGATGAGACAAATTGGCTAAGGAAGCAGTCAGCAGCTGGATATGGCTTGTACACAGACTTGAAATGTGGAATAGTAAAGATTTCAATGTGTAGAAAGAGACTAGAACTGAATTTACTTGCCCAAACGTTGCAGAAACCTGCAGGTCCTGGGCAGGAACAGGAATAGGACAAAAGCAATGGCTTGGGGAGAAGAATCTCTGCCCGTTAGACATATTCTTATCTCTATCATCTGGAAAAGTGCTATAGATTCTTGAGCGTGTCTATTCTTCTGCTGACAAAATACATTTTCCCCTGCCAATAGGTCCCCTTGCTACTATCATGGAATTCCTATCTGATGCTGTCACTCATTTGCATAATTACTAACAGGTGGTTTTGTGTTCCTTAATTTTCTGACTTGATATTCTGATTCATAAAAGGGGTGAACGTTTTTTTTGTCTGCAACTGAATTCGATGGAAGCTGAGCTTTGAACACACAAAATTAATGTTTAATTCTCCCCGCCCCTCAAAAATTGCCAGTTTTGTGGCTCAGGTTGGGCATAAAAATTTAGCAGATACTTTTTGTCTTGCTTTCTAAGATCTCCATCACACCTCGGAAAGGAGTTACGAAAATAAGTGAGTTGCTCGTTAAGCATTAAGATATGTGTAATAGAGGTCATGAGGAAATTAATAATTCTGCCTTTGAAGTGAAGTTTGGGTAGTATGACAGGAGGCCACCCACTAAACAGTACAACTAAAGCAAAATATTAAACACCTGCTCATTAAATGAACACCAACAATCTGGAGATGTTCGGGGAAAAATGGTGTGTTATCATATAATTGCAACCAGTCCCATAAGGCATAAACAGAAAGGAAGTGATTAACAGGCACGCAGGCAGCCTTAGTTCTGGCAGTGAGGTGCTGCCTGCTTGATTTTGCAACCTTATTAACGCTCTTTAATGGTTTTTATTTTTATTATTATTTGCATACAATGAACATGTATAACCAACCTATAAACTCAGCTCTGTAGTTACCAAGACAAACTGCCCGAGTCAGAATCTGGTATTACTTGCATCCATGTGAATTTTGAGTAATTTTTTTAAGTGACATCATACCCTTCAACTTGCTGAGAATGAAATGTGAAACGTAGTTTGCGTAACCAGTTTTAAATGTCTTTATGATAAATCCCTGTCTTGAGTGGAAATACTGCTTCACGTAAACCCAGTCTCATAATGGTTCGACTAGCATAAATAATTTATGACAATAAAAGTGTGGTATGGCTGAGAGGACAAACAAAATTTATGCAATCCAAAGGCAACTTGGAAACTCACCCCAGTGACATCCTTTCAAATGAAATTACCGGTACTTGGGGTTTGTAGCAGTGTCTGTATACAGGGTACTGCACCAGGACGACTGAGAGCAGATTGTGGCTCTGCATCTGGATTTTAAGCAGGCCTGTACAACATTAGGCTGATTAATAATATTTGTAGCCGTGCAGGCTAAAATAACAAGGGTAAACAGAAGTTATTATTCAGACTTTAATTTGGTTTTCCATGGTGAAGTCGGTGAAGGGGAGCTCTGTCCTCTGCCCGACACTCCGCAATTGCCTGAGATGCCTAACGCCAAGTTTAAATTTTTCTCTGAAGCGTCAAGGTATTGATTGTTGCCAAAGGCAGGCTGACTCCACTGGCAGCTCATACACTGCTAGAGCAGGCAGGAGCTCTCAGATCAGGCTTTGTGTGTGCAGCAGTGCAGAGCCACAGCATTCCCAGGGAAGGGTACTGGCTCAGAGGCCTGTGTGCTGTCCAGCAGGGCAGGTGGGCAGTCAGTCCTGGCACAGGCTGCCTTCTGGTGGCACTCCACTCTTCCTTGAGGGCCAGATGTGACAGCCCCTGCCTCTCCAGCCTGACAGCCCTCTTCCTGGCTCTTTATGCACATCATCAGTTCCACTTGTCTGAATTTGTGGAGCTCAGCCTCCTTTCTGTGTGGTGGATGGGTAAACAAAAAGATGCTGAAAAGTCAAAAAATGTTCATTTCAACCCTCTGACTCACCAAGGAATTTTAATGTCTCTTTCAAGAGCGTCCCACGTTTCTCAGGCGACCGATAAACCAAGTGGTGCTGGAGGAGGAGGCCGTGGATTTCCGGTGCCAGGTGCAGGGGGATCCCACACCCACAGTCCGGTGGAAGAAAGATGATGCAGATTTACCGAGAGGAAGGTGAGAGCAACAATCACGTTCCCCACACTTTCAAATTTCAGTTGTTGAATAATGCTGGAATCCATCCCTACTACTTACAGCTTGTTGTCTGACATTATTTCCGAGATTTATTTCCCTTATGGCTGGTCTTTGGCACTGCAAAACTTGTTCCAGAGCCAGCTGAGCAGGGACACCCAGTCTGGGTGAGTTGTCCGGGTAATGGATTCCTGCGGAAGGAAGAAAAATGATTTGTAGGTGTTGTGAGCACATGGGTATTCACTGAATTTACTGGAGACAGTAAAGATGTTTTAGGAATGTATTAGTGAGAGTAGCCTTCAGAATAATGTGCTGATACCAAGAGGGAGACAACTTGGCAGGAGAGTTGCTCTGTTGCACTAGCAGAATGGATTAGAAGCACAGCACTGAGGTGGGCTTTGCTGGCTCCTTAGTTCACTTCTATTCAGTCTTGGAGAGAAACCTTCCTCTTGAGGAAAAAAAAAGCCAGACTAGCACAAGCATAAAGCAAAGCTGAAATCTGGAACAGGCCCCTTGTGTTCAAGAAAGATTCGTGTATTCTGGAACAAACACAGAGAAAATTCCAGAGTGAGCAGGGGCAGAGAGACTCTCCTGTGAAAGAGTATTAAATTAGTTTGGCTCCTTTCAGCTAACAGAACAGCGTTTGGTCCTCATTTTCTGAAACTCTTCCTTGTTTTGATGCTGAATCATTGTTACATTAAAAAGTATTAACACAGAAATAGGTCTGGGAACGGGAATTAAAACCCGGGTCTCCATAACCCAACAAATCCTTCTTGGCCTTGTGACTTTTAATTTCAACAGCAGATCTGAATAGCACTAGAATTTTTTCCCCCACCATAGTTGATCTTTTCCATCAGTGAAATATACTAATGGAATACATAATCTAGGAAAAACTTTTCTACATAAGTAAGATAGGTATGTGTGTATATATATATATATATATATAAAAATACTTAAAAAAATTAATTTTCTTGCAACTTAAATTAAATAGTGACTTAGCTGTTTTGCTGATTATACTGGCAGATGTGTATGCATGTAATACACAAAATATTATTTTGAAGAGAAGACTTTTGGATGTCAGGATGGATTTTTCTGTTTGGTTGCTATTTGACCATGCACTGTAGAGTACTGCACAGTAAATACATTGTGCTTCTGTGATTTATTCTTGCTGTTGTATTACTTCTGTTGTTTTAAATAGTGTCTACTTCTTGGTCTCATAAGCAGTAGTAATAGATGAAGAGCCAACAATGTCTTTGGTTAGGTTACATTTTTAATAGTTTCTTTTTTAATGTCTATGTTACTTCTTTTTGTTTTTTTATCTTACTGTGAAAAACATAGTACTGTGTACTTTGAGATGACTTTTCCTGTTCATTCATGATGTATTTCTAAGGAAGAAGAAATTTAGCAGGAAGCGTAGGAAGAGTTTTCACTGGGCTTTTAACTAAAAGGAGAGAAGGTTCATGGGATACATTCTGATAATAATCAACTTCAGGCTCCAAAACTACTCTCAAAGTTTTGCAGTGTTTTCACACTGCTGTTTAACATTTCATTAATTGTGTTTTGGCATCTTAAAACAGAAAGGGAGGGTGTGCCTCCATTTATATCTGTTTCCCAGAACATCAGAGGGGTGGGTAAGGAAGGGGCAAGGTTGCAGAACCTCACTCTGGAGATCACCTTGGGGGACAGAGGACTAACACAGCCCCTGCTCATGTAGCAGGTGACCACCATCTGAGCCACATGGATTGTGGTCATCCAGTAGAATCTGACATCTGCACTTCAGAAGCAAATACCTCTGATGGACAGCACTGTATGTTTTCTTTTCTAAAATGTTTCATATGTACAGCAGAATATGTGAGCAGTCTTCACTGTCCAAAGAGTGATGCTTCATCAAGGAAGATTAACTTGGAACGTCTAAAACAAAAAGCTATGGTTGGGGTTTTTTTGGATTTTTTAAAACCAGCAAAGAAATTTGCTCAAGTGCAGTCTGAAGGAATAGATAGATGGATGAGAAAATTATAATATAGCAATTTTATAAATTAAGAAGAGAATGTCAAAGTTTTTCTTCCTTTTTGCAGTGGGAGGTGGGTTTTCTGGGTTTTTTTTTGAGGTAAAAGAGAAATTAGCTTTCAGCTTTTGAGCCCCTGTATTTTAAGTATTTCAACATCTACAGTGAAATATAAAGCCCTCAAGGAATTCCCTTTGTTATTCTTCCTACATGCATAAACACTTCTTCTGAGCAGATCTGTGCAGCTATTTGTCTTATAACTTTCAACATCAATTTCCTGTTTCTACAGCTAACAACGTTCTTTGCACATCTGCCGGTTTTCATTTTTTCAATAATTTCCTTTTGGCTTCATCCCTAGATTACAAGACAATTATAGTAGGTACCTGTTTCAACAATTACTGCAAAATTTTGAATGTGTCTGTTGTTAGTTCGACTTCCAAAAGTGTCTAGTTCAGTGGCAGCAAAGTGGGACAAACTGAATTTTTGCATTTTGTTTCTGTAATTTGCTCCTGGTGAATGCCAGAATCAGTAGTAATGGATCCATCGTTTTCAGAACTCCTTCTCTGTTTTTCTACCTTACTTACTTTTAGGGTTTTTTTTAGTGACATGTGTGAAAGCAATCACAGTATTTTCTGGTGACAAGAATAAATAGCATTGCTGCACCAATTTGTGTGTTGAGTAATCATTGGAAAATAATTTCAGACTGTTGGAGTTTTAATTATAAAGGTCCCTGATGAACAACAAGCATCTCCAGTTGCAGTTGGATTAAAAGAGAAAAAAAATCCTAGCTTCTGAAGAAATGATTATGTTTGAAAGCATCACTGTTTATAAAAAATTAATTTGGCCATTTGTTGAAAAGTCTGTGTAATTAACCAGAAATATATGAATATTGTGCTTTAAAACTGAGAACAGTTAGTTTATTCTGAAGGTCCAAAACTTCATTCCAAATTTTAGCTGCTTTGACTTGATGATCTAAACCAACTATGGTAGTCTGTATTTTGAATTTAGAACCTTAAAATGGTTCTTTGAGTGGAATTTTTCAAAACGCCGAGGAAACATTGATCTCACTGGCAGACACAGGAAGTTACTTGTCCAACATCCTGTAGACCTGACTTGAGATTTCAGACTGTGATATGTATCCTGGAGCTCTTCTGCATATGGCTGGACAGGAATTAAGAAAACAATAAATACCAGATGGAAACAGTGTTGTGACTTATGTATGATAACCATTTTCATTGTTCTTTTACGTTGTGATAATGAATTAATTGTAATCTTCAGTCTTTAAAATCCTTGTTAGAGCCCAAACTGATCCCAGCAAATTAATAACTTGCTGGTTATATGTTGATACAGCACCAACAGGGAGAAACAAAATGCAAAGTGTAGTCAGGGGTTTGTAAAGTCTTTTTCCAGAAGCTGCCATTTCAAATCAGTGACCCAAGACTGAAATCCATTGTAAATCAAAGGTAGGGGCGCATGGTGTATATTTTATTTTAATTACTCTAAAAATTCAGCATCACACCATAGCCTCTGCAGTACACAAAGGCTAGGGAATAGTTAATCAAGTATGACTCATGTCAAACCACTGGAGGTGAACAGGATATTGTGGGGTCACCAATCCTATGCCTTTGGCTGAAATATGAGGTTCACTATTTCATGAATGGTTTCTTTTCATTATAAGTGACACAAGGAAATGGCACAAAGATTGTACTGAAATGACTTAGACAATTGTGGCTATGCATAATTATTAGGACCTATTGAAAATGAAATAAAAATTGTCTTTATGCATTGAAGTCTCTTTCCAGATACATGCTCAGGTATCTTTTCCTTTGATGTCTTCTTGGCAGAAATAGAGATTATACTTTCCTGCTAAAGACCTGATGCTCTCCTGTGTGGTGGGAAACTCAATATGGCCTGGATCCACTTTTGATTCATCTACTTTTTAGTCCTGGTAACAGGAAGAAAGTGATATTATTTGAGAGCCTCCAGTATGAGAGTGGCATATCTATGACTAGCAATTTAATAACATTTGAATAAGGTTTGCACAGTGTTTCATTTCTTCAAATTTTCTAGCGAAGCCGAAGAGAGCAGCTGCATGGTCTGTAATTACATAGCAAGTAATAAGGACTTTTTTTTTTTTTTGTAGGAAGTGAAGAGATTTTCAATTACAAGTCAAAATTTATGACACACTATAATAACTGTTTAAACCTTTTATACAGAAGAAGCTAGCAGTGCCAGCTCTTCGGGAGAGTGAGGTTAGCTCAGCAAATGTATTTTTCAGTTGCCTTAAAAATGACTGAGTAGCAATCACATAGGCCTTTTTTTTTGCATTCCAGCCCAGAACAGCTGTTTTAGCTCAGTAAATACATCTTTAATGAAATTACAACCTGCTCTTTTAAGTTGCACTTACAGGCACTGTCTGATTAGGTGGATATTGTACTAGAGATGAAAAGTGGCAACTGCACCAGCAGGAAGAGGTATTGGTTTTATGCATCACCCAGGCAGCGGGAGTGTAGGCAGAAAAACCAAGAGTGATGCTTCAGAACGACAATGGTGTGAAGTTTACACAAGGTATATTGCTGAGGGTTAAGAGATTGTAGGTTATTAAATGAAACAGTGTGGTATCACACAGCAGTGAAAACCACAAACAGCACAGTAAGCTTTCTTATTTGCTGAAGATTAGCAATATTAATTAAAAATTATTTGGGAAAGAGCATTCTTAAAGCATAGAGTTAAATTATATATTCCAGTATGTATGTTAGCTGCAACCAACACAAGTCTGTGTAGGTGTTAGTTTTGCTATGTTTTTGAAACTGGATGCTTTGTACCTGAAAAGTGACGGCATCTGCAAAGTCTGGGCAGAAATACTGTCACACTCCAGATGGCACTTATTGAAAAATACACACCTATAATTTCTGTGCTTTCCTCCATGGCATCTTGTGAGCCCAAAACTGAGAGTAAAACACGAAATTTTAAAAATATG